TCTGAAATTAATGTACTGGGGAATTAATATACCAAAGACCAATGAACTGTGTTTGACAGGGAAACTGGAATAAAATATTAAAAGTTATCCATAACAGGTTAAATCAGGGGTAATCAACCTTGGCTCTTTTATGACTCGTGGACTTCAACTCCCAGAATTCCTAAGCCAGCTAAGCTGGCTCAGGAATTCTGGGAATTGAAGTCCACGAGTCATAAAAGAGCCAAGGTTGACTACCCCTGGGTTAAATCAAGACAACTAGATGAATTTGAAGTCCATCTATTTAACTCATTCCTTCTTACCACTGCCTTTCCTTCAATTAGTTAGCGTGCCTGCGGTGGAATACTTCCTTCCCCCTGGCCACTGGTCACAGCCCCCCTTGGTCATTTTTTCCCTGATTGCCAGGCTGACAGCGATTCTGGGGAGATTCAGGCTGGATACAAGGAAGAGCTTCCTAACTGATCCAGGATGCTATGCAAAATAATGCACTTTCCTTCAGTACAGGTCTTTTAATAGTGGCTAGATGGTCAGCTCTTCAAAATGTTATAAGGAATAGACTAAATGACCTCTAATCCTCCTTCCAATTATATGGTAACTATGCTTTTCTTTCTTCCTGTAAACCCAACCCCCTGGTTCCATATAACACAAAGGATAGAAGCATTTCTTGTTTTTACTTCATTCCTTACCACATGCTTCTACTGGTATTTCCAAGTTTTCAAATATCTTCATCCATTTGTAACAAGGTAGATGAGTTCATCTATTTGCTCTTAGTTTGAAATATTAATGTTAGAAAACAGTAGTTTTGAAGTAGAGAAGAAAGAGGAGGTTGTGTTTATGGCAGGCTGGTGGTGGATCAAAGGCAACACTATTCATTGATGTCTTTCAGAAACAAGGGGTCAGCTGTATTTACATTGGTGCAACTGATCAGCCTTGCTAGTCAAAATTATTTGCCTGATTGGGATGTATTTTTTTACACTTAAAAAAAATCTGCCCTAGGGCCTAGGCAATAGTTGTTGAGCTTAAAAACAGGTAATGGTACCCAACTTGGCAGATTCCAGTGTTTTTTTCAAATGCTTTTGATGAAATGTTGAAGTTAATGTAAGACCTAACACCTCTGTCAAGATTAGATCAGAGACCAAGTTGAAAAATTATAAAATGCTGGGTATGTGGGATAATAGCACAATTTATGAAAAAATATAAAAGATATAAAATATGTTAAAAATATGGAGCCCCCAAAGTCAAAATAGTGACCACAATCATGAAATCGAAGCACTTTCCCTTGACAGAGTTTGTATAAGAATCCATAGGAGTGGCTTGAATGAAAACTAATTGACTTCGTAGCTCCTTAATTCTCTTAAGGATTAATATTTACATCCAGGAGATATAGAGTGGCATTCTCAGAATCCATGTTGCTCCAGCCATAGAAGAAGGATCTGCTATGAGCGTAGTTCCTCATCTTTTAGATCAGAGGAGAACTTTTCCCATCAACCTTCTCCTCATTCATTCCACCAGTCTGCCAGTTGCCCTTCAAGCAACATAAACATAGAACATAATCTTTTCCTTTATTATTTTAATATATACGTTTCCTTTTCAAGCCCCAGGCTTTCAACCACAAGATTAACTTCTGTAGGGACTGGCAAATAACAGTGTAAAATATATCATCTGATGTAAAATCTAGCATGCTGATCATAATAGTAGCACTTTTAGCAGTATCGAGACAAAATAATACTGAGAATCAGAAAATGGGAACTGATTCCTCTTCCTTTTTGGTTATATCCAGTGCTTTTTTTGTAAAAAAAAAAAAAAAAAAGGTGCCGGAATTCACACACATCATACAATCCCGCCTTGCCTACCCTACAAGGTTTACCTTTGTAGTTGAAAAAAAAAACCTTCAATTTTTAGTGTATCTAAAAGACTAGGATTTTGTTCAAGGTAAGTTAATACTATTAATGTTACTATGCACTGTGTGGCTTTAAATTACAAGAAGGCATTTTATTAATCTTTTGGGACATTTACCACCAGCATACCCATTTAGTTTAATGAGTGGAAATGTCAGCTTTCTATGTGGAATGAAATTGGCCCAATAAAACAAAATTTGGTTGTTTGTAAAAGATTGAGTTGTTTTCAGGGCTTTTTTTCTCGGAGAAAAGGTGGCGGAACTCAAACCTGGCCACGCCCTCATCAAACCCTAGGACCGCCCCTTTAGAGAACAGGATGCAAGTAAAATTTGGGAGGGGCTATTTCCGGTGCGGCCGGCCCGGAAAAAGGTGCCGGAACGCGGTTCCGCCGCGTTCCGGCTGAAAAAAAGCCCTGGTTGTTTTTAAGAAGTTATCAAACAAGGTGGAAAAATTTACATTTGGAGTTTAATATGGATATTGACTTGAAACAAATTAAAGTTGAAACTTTGTCAGTGAACAGATTACTTTTAATTTACCTTTAAGTTAAACCCAATTTAATAAATAGATCTGATTAAACCTCATGCTGTAGGTCTACCTTTACATCTGACCAATACATAATTAATATATATTGTTAATAATAATACCTCCAAATCACAAGACATTGGCTTTATTCTTATTCTTCCCCTCTGTGGTTTGAATATAAAGTATAAAAGACTAAAAAGAAATTTTTGTAGACATCTCAGCCTTTGAACTACCCAAGGAACTGAAACAGCAAAGTTTTGCTGTCGGGCAAACTTCCACGCCAGCCGCCTTTCTTTCCTCTCGCTTCGCCTCTTTTTAACCCCACCTTCTATAAGGGAAGGCAAAAGGCTCGCTCACCTTCTCATGAAAGATGGCCTCCATGTTTATGTGTCTCCCACCGCCACCATTGGCTTCCACACCACATGGTCCGACCCAGCCAATCAAGCCACACTCCGCCTGTGGTGCTCCGGCGCCTCATGGCTCCTCCTAGAGGAGGCATACAGCGCCAGAGGGGACCCCACCCCCACTGTACTGCCAGCAGGGCATTTTCAAAAACAAACGAGGATAGGAAGGGCAACAATAGGAAAAGAACACAACTCTGGAAAATATCCATTAAAAAAAAGGTGCCGGAACTCCATTCTGGTGCGTTCTATGACAAAAAAAGCCCTGGTTATATCCATAATAATTTCTCCTTTTAATCTGATTCTCATACTACTAAATTTGCTTTGTGAGAGGTTCATGATTTAGGGGTTTAGGAGGGATACCTATGGCTTTTTTTCAGTCATACAGTAAAATTATGTTGCAAGCGTAAAAACGGATGAGGTTCTACCTGCTTTTTATACTTGGACACTTTGGGCTGCAATAGGGACAGCTGTGTGCATGCCAAGAAGTTGATACAAGAGGGAAATGAATCCTAGATCCATGTTAGTGATAGTGGACGGGATTTCAGCCATACAGCCTATTTCTTTTGGAAGGCCTCAATTAGATATGCACAAAGGAAGTTATTCAGATTATATCTAGTTAAAGATTGCCTTGTGAGGTGACCTTGTGATAGCAGTGTGTTCAAAGATATTTGACTGAAACCAGAATGTGAGACTTGTTTTCATCCAGCAAAATAATTGCCAAGGACCTGATTTTATTAAAACAGCTTGCTTTCTAGGTATTGAAATAAACTTTTTTTTAATGCTGAACTGCCTTTTGGAATATTTGATTTCTCTACTACTCTCCCCAGAAGCCTCAGTACAATTTTTATGCAATTTAGATCAATTGAATAAAGAAAATAAATTCAGTATAAAATCCATTTAAAAACTATTCATAGTTACAGAAGAAGACTGAAAAGACCAGTATTTATAGCTCTTTTGAACATGTTACGGGCTTTCCTATCTTAGTGAAGCATTGGTATTATCTAGGCCAGGGGTATCAAACTCGCAACGTCACATGACGTGTCGCGACGTATCGCAACTTTTTTGCCAGTGCTGGCAATAGGGCGGGGAGTGGTTTCGCTATGATGCATCTGGCCCACAGGCCAGGAGTTTGACACCCCTGATGTAGGCCAATCACAATAGCCTCATTGCAGGATGAAGTCAATGAAAGGACCACTTAAGTCATACCACTTTGAAACATATATTCCCGTGGTGGCGAACCTATGGCACGCGTGCCACAGGTGG